AAAATTGATATCTTGTTTACGTGAACATGCTGCTTGGGTACCTCACTTAAGGTGGAATAATCCACCTCTTAGCAGTGCAAATGGGAATTGCACGACTTAAGCAAGGGGGGCTGGAAAAAACTGACATACATCTCAACACCTTGTAATCGTTCGATGTGCATCACATATCCAATTTGTCATAGTTTTGCATTCATGACGCTGTGTTTCTCCCGGAGAGAACAGTAGGGCTTCTTTTTTTTATCTTATATTTATTGTGTGACAGCGGTTCGGTGTGAGAAAACGATCAATTTTTGCACTTGCACTATGAAATTGCAAATTTTCTACTAGGCCACGATTCGACTTCCTTTCACACAAAAGATACGGTTCTACCGTATACGTGTTACATGGAAATGAAGAAAGGAGAGGCATTGCTTCATGAAATTATTTAGGACAAGAAAATATGGATTTATTCACTTAATTCAGTCATCATTTGAAGTAGCGTAATAAAATCTAAATATAGTATGTAAAAAAAAGTGTATCAATGTCATTGAATTATCATAATTTGGTCGCATGGAAGCTTCATGATCTAACGGGCAAAATTATCGGACAGTGGTGGAGGTGGCGGTATCCCTGGCGCAGATGCAGGAGGCCAACTACCCCGAGCACCTCAAGCGCCTCTACCTCCTCAACAGTAGGACAGAGTCGCATCCCTGCCGAATTCTTTGCTATGTATGATCTGCTCTGAACGGGGAGGTTGTTTCGACCAGTGCCTCGGTTCTTCACGATGGCGCTGGCAGTGGTGAGACCGTTCCTCAATCAGACGACGCAGGAGAAGATCGTCTGCCTGGGTTCGAAGGATCAATTCGAGCCCGTTTTGACCAAAGCCATTTCAAAGGACGTCTTGCCCAAGTTCTGGGGTGGGAACAGAGTCGACGAGGATGGGGATCCCAAGTGTTCTTCCTTAGTATGTATTTATACTCCACTTATACTCAAATCAAGAATAACGCATAAAAGTTCACAATATTGTAGCATAATCTGAATAATGCATCTCAAATTAATTGTAAATTTCCTATTATAGTAATGGTACGAGACAAGGAAAAGTTTAAATCGACCCGTCAAGAAACGGATCGCAGAAATTCATGAAAGCAAGATATTCATTGCTTTAATCTAAATAAGCTACAGCAACCTTACCGGAAACTTGATGCCCAGACCGGGAAAGGCGGAAAAGTGCCCAAATCCCTCTACCGGACGAGCAAAGGTGCAAAGGAGGCACAGGAGGAGGAAAAGAACGAGGAGAAGCTCGGAGGGGTGGAGCGACGAGCGGTGAGCCTTCGGGGCGGGGAAGCCCTGAACTTGGAATGCCGTGCGCCCCATCCGGGATCGCTGCTCAGGTAGAAGACCGGCGGATATATATTGCGTAATTTTGGCATTCACTGGAACGTGGGGATGGGGATTGGGGTGCGTACTTGGACCCTTTGACTACCGAGGCTCATTTTGCTCCTAGGGTAATTTTGTAGGTGAAATGAACCCATCACTGGTCCTGATCGAATGATTTGGGAATTATGGGTAAATTTGTTGCAGTTCGATTCACTCTCCGCTTTTTTCTTTCTGACAGTCTTTCATTTCTTGCTCCTCTGTTCCGAACGGCGGATGAACAGAGAGAAACGGAAGACCGGTGCTTGGAATCGTTGCAAGTATCCCATTAGCTAGTTTAAACAGGAATAATTTAGCAAGCGAAAGAGTCAGTGTTGCATGGCAATGAAAAACCCAACGCGTAGTCTGAACCAGGCATACTTCAGAACTGACAGCTATTTCACCAAGTCGTGAAAAACGCGATTATGCCTTCATCACCCAGATTTGTTTCCACGCCTTCGTGGGGCTATGTGTAATTTAGGCACTCGTGGCTAAATTTCTGCTGTCGATGATGATTGCTGGAAAATTTGGTCCTATCCGGTCATTAACGCAGCTGGGAGTTCAGTACGGAAAAGGAAGGGGTGGAGTACCTCGTATTACGGGTCGACGGGGAGCAGGTCGACATCCACCAGGAGGATGTCTCTGGCCGACGAGTGCGGGAGAAGGAAAGGGCGAACAGCCACCAGGAAACCGTCTCTGGGGAGATCCTCCTCCAGGAGCCCGGTCTCTACTGCCTTCGGTTTCATTCCAAGGCCACGAGTGACAGGCTCAGCTACGCCATCCTCGTCACTCCTCCGCCTGATCGCCTGTGATGTCTTTCTTCCCGGCGGCTGATGCGACGAAGGGAGATTCGAACATAATTAATGTGAAACTTTTACGTATTTCATTTAAAATATGTTACTTGAAAGTTTGAATATTTCATATAAAATATGCATATTAAGGTACTTATTTCTTGGAAAATCATGCGTGTATCAAATTACACATATTTCCTATTAAAGTTGAGGCATATCTTCCCGTTGTCTCCTTGAAATTTTTCCCATTCAGTCGCTCTGGAGCTCAGAGTAGAAAATACATGTTTATATTCGAGCTATCGTAGTTTTATTTTGTATTAGTCCATTTTTTTAATCCAAGTTTTTATAGACGCTTTAGTTGTTGTATTGCTGCATTGCTGGGTCCGATTGCCAGGCCCAGTCGCTGTCCATGCAACAAGCTGTCCGATTGCTCTTCATCGTAGTTCTGGCAATTTTCCCCCTTATGACTCAAGGGCATCGCAGAACCGGCACTCATTCCTTTGACGTGCAAGCGCTGTTACATCAACGGGGAGAAGGAGCCAAGCATCTGATGACGATCAATGAAGCGAAGGAAAGATGCTCGTTACGTTACGTTACTCGTTACGTTGATGTTTGGATGCAGCACCGACCTTTTCCTTACTTTCTTACCTTCCTCCACTTATTTATTTACTCGATATAAGCCACTTCCACAAATGAATAAAAAGGGAGTGGGAACAAATGAGACGAGGCAAAGGAGAGAGGTAGAATTAATGCGGAGGAAGACACAACCCCCTCATGGCTCAAGAACCTGGCAGCATGAAAATTTCATTCCATTCCTTGCATATACACTAGCACATGCGCACACTGACAAAAAACCGAGAGAATACTTTCCGTTGATGAGGGCAGGACCATTTCCTCTCGGCGCAAAATCGAGTCACGTGGTTTTCCTCGCGATCGCGGAGATGTACGCGTATGTGAGCAACGTATTTATTGTAAGTCGTGCGTGGAGGAGACATCGGTTTACGCGATGGTGCTAGTTGGAGATTGTTCCCACGGACGACAGAGAGAAATAGACGAAATGGAGGAATTCGTGAGAGTGCGTGGTGTCACGCCGAAAAAGGCTCCCAGCCGTTCCGGTCCGGAGAAACGAGAAAGGGAGATTCGGCTCGAGATCGTACTAATCTGGAGTGGGTTACTTCGTCGTTCGATTGAGTCGAACCGGCGGAAACCAAGTTTGGGGAAACGACCCTTGGCCCGTGCACCGAATCTGACGCATCCGGGGGACCGTGCCCGAGAACGGTTTTTTTGGGTAGGTGCTCGCGTGCTGCAACGTGGAGACTAAAAAGTCATCGGAACGGTGTAGGCGAAGGGACGCGAGAGGTCGGACGCCGGAAGTTCGAGCGACATCCGGCCATCCGGACAGCGGTTCGGCATTCGACATTTGAGCCCACGTGCCGCCTCCTGCGTGCCTTCCGACATCGGTCGCGCCGTTCGGCGCCCTTTGGGTACCGAGATATTCAAATATCCGAGACGCTGAGCGATTGCGACGAAAAAGCACAGGAATGCGTCGTCGACCGACGACACTATCGATCGCGAACGTACGCAAAATGCGTCGAGTTCTTCGGTTCGGGGAAAAGTTCGTCTCGACGGCTCTCTCTCCCCCCCTTTATCACCCTTACCCTCGTCGATCGGTACACCGCCCGACGTTTTTCCCTTCGAGACGGGGGCCGCGCGAATGGTCGCGCGAGTACGAACGAGACTCCGAAGAGATGAGACGCGAGATAGCCGACGAAGCGAGACGCTTTCCACGGAAGGAAGTCTCCGGAACTTCTCGTGCGGTGCCAAGACCTTCATCGCCGACGAACGAATCGCAGACTCTGGAATTCTTCGGTGCGATCGTTCGAACGGGCGAACTCGCTTCGATCGACTCCGGGCAATTCGAGAGGACGAACGATACGACTCGGGACTCGACCGCAGAGACGGACGGTAGAAGGCACGAATCGCCTCGGTCTCGGAGACGCGACATGCTCTTTCGGGGGAGATGGGTTCGATGGTACGATGGCACCGACCGCGATGCGGGCCCGAGCACTCGCCCACCACGGTTTCCTCCCTATCGCGAGCGACAGACGAGGGAACGGCGTGGTGCAAAGGGCTAAAGTTCGTTCGCGAAGAGCGGGACTTATCTGCGAGCACCGAGGGCGGAGGGCGCAACTCGCTCTGCCTCTCGAGAGGAGGCGAGGAACGGTGCTTTCCCCATTCCCTCGCTGCGTCGCCCGAGCATCCGATCGTGATGGCTTCTTCGGCGTACGAACGGGAGGCGTTGCAAAAGGTAACACGTGGCAGGACGTGGAGCGTGTCGAGGAGGAGGGGAGGGGTAGGGGCGGCGTGTTCAATACCCCGATTACGAAAAGTTTTTATGCAATATTTACCCTTCTAATATTGTGTGCTCTGTTACTTTCACCCCCAAAGTGTGTGTGTGTGTGTGGGGGGGGGGGGGCAGCCCCATGCAACTCCAGACTTTCTGCTGTGTTAGTTAGCGCATGAAAGGTCGAGGTCTAAGGTAGATTCCATACGCTAGCAAAAAGAGCTTACTTGTGTTAAAATAAGTTCAGAAACATCTATATGTTAGTTTTCGCGAAGAAATTGTTTGATTATTATATACAAGATGATTCCCCGTCGTTCTCACTTGTCGCTGTCCCACAAAATGTGAGTAGTGTAGAATCTATTGCTCCGAGATGCCAAATCAAAAGTGTCGGGAAGTTTCAGAGGAACTTTTTGCAAACGAACGCGTGCCATGCTCTTCTGCGAAAGCTGTCCATGCCCTTTAAATCGGATGCAGATCGTGTCGGCTATCGATTTCCATGCCTCGGAGATCTTTGGAGACATGGAGTTAATTTTCTGAATGATTCCGCGAATTATTCTCATGTCGCTCCTTTTCCCCATCCGATCCATCTGGTAGCGACCGAATCGATGAGGATGTCCCTTTCATATCCAGCTTCTGGAGCGGCTGCGAGACGTCGTCATCCCGGAGGATGTCCGTCGCGAGGTCTTCCTGCTCAAGTTCCTCAAGGGTACGTCCGAGAAAGTCCTCCCTTTCCCGTGCGCGTTAAAGGGCTCGCATTCCGAACGGTAACAGCGCTCGATGTGCGGGCGAAGTCCCATTGCGTGAGGGGACGTCGCCGTGCAGCCAAAAAGTCTCAACTGCCGGCCGACAACCCCGTTCATATACCAAAACCGAAAATGGACTCGATCCGTCGTTTTAATGCATATCTCCGAGTGTTCTTTCCGTTCGCGTTTGCTCGCCGACTTCTCAGCGAAACCCATGGGTTTCGTGAAGTTTTGGCTCGCTCTGTGTGCCTTGGCGACCGTCACTTTCCTACTTCAGGGGAAAAGGCAATCATTTATGCTCTCAATATCCAAGGGCAAGAAGGTTTCAGGCGAATTGCATCGATGAGCGGTATAAGTCATTAATATGACCTCTGTCGTGTATTTTCTAGCGAGGGATTTCGACCTTGACAAGACAGAGAAGATGTTTCGAGCCGTGAGTCCCGTCTTTATCTTTCAGTCCGACCTCCTGTGCTCTTGAACAGGAAATTTGTTCCACGAGATACCACAGTGGCAGGAATGATTAATGCCGTCGTGGAATCGATTCGTTGCTTCCTGAGTCGTCGGAACCTCTTTCCGTAAGATCCCTCGAAGATAAGCAAATTCAGGAGTGATCGATAGACAATTTCGAGTCGAGCCGTGACCCTCGAAGCAACGAACAGATCCCGAGAAGGAGTCTATCGATGACGTCACGGGAATGTCCGCTTCCATGAAGCACCTGGAATGGAGGGAGAAGTGGAGGCCGGAGTACCTGCGGGACGTGTGGAAGGCCCCCGAAGTGCTGCGGAAATACCCGGTGATGGGGTTCATCGGATACGACCTCCAAGGATTTCCCGGTACGGGTTACTTCTACAGACGTATTAGTATTAACACTCCCCTCTGATATTCCACTTCGTCCTCGCGCTGCTTCCGCGTTCGAAGAGGATTCGGCGAGATAAGAAATCATGGAAATTGCTATGCCGTAGTGCATTCCGCGCATGGGCTTACGAGGAACATTCATGAAGGGTGGCGCTCCAATTTTATCCGAAATTTGTACAAATGCAGTTCATAATTATTAAATACTGGAAATCAAAATTTCCACGTGCCCTCGTGGCCTAAGGACTGACTAATTAAATTTAAAAAATTATGAGTTGCAATAATGAAAATCAAATTGAAAATGGGTGAACCAAAGGCGTAGCTCACAAAGTGTCCACATCATATATACCCATTAAGTTTTAACAATTCTGTTGAATTTGTGTAATTTTGAAGCAAAATGAACTGACATATGTGCTTCGGGCCTCCGATCCATATATCCAGCTTTGAACCAAGCATATCCGATGAAATTCTTAAACCGAGGAGCCGAGCATTGGTTGTGGGTAATATATGAATGGGGTGTTAAAATATGATCGCGTCGAGAAAGATCGACTTCGAGATGATCCAGGAGAAGACGATGTGAAACTTTGCGGACAGCGTCTTTCCGCAAACGGAAGAAATGAACTTCCAGCGGGTGGGCGATTCCCGTTGTTTCTTGGTGGGATCTGCATTACGGCCATTGTTTTCCGGTTTGGCTCGTGATCGCATCCTGATCCTTGTGGATGTCCAAGGAGTCAAACAGAATGATAAAAATCATTTTTAACTGCTGGGAATAGCACTCCTTTGAAATACTCATCGGCGAGAATATTGGTCATCAGGTAAAAAAATTAATGTCATTTGGCCACATTCATGAAATACCCCTATTGTGAGCTACGCTTCATTTCTCTCCTTTTTATATTGACCTTCATTATTGCAACTCATTCTTTTCCTTAATTTAATAAATTAGTCCTTAGGCCACGAGGGCACGTAACATTTTACTTAAAGTATTTAATAATTATGTACTGCATTTGTACAAATTTTGGTTCGGATCGGAGCGTCACACTTCGTGAATGTTCCTTGTTAGTTATTCACCAGCGAAGAAATTCCCACAGACACGATGGAAACGCATTGTCCACCAGAACGGAGACCAAGGTCTGGAAGCGTCAGAATCCACTTTCCTGGCGCGACTCTGCTGGTAGTGGTCCATCGCAACACGACTCGGACGGGATCGCGGGAGTCAGCCCTGTCAAACGATTGCGAAAGGCACAAAATGTTTCTTCGACCTTCTTCGCTGCATTCGGTGCCGATTGGGAAATTTCGCTTCCAGATTGACACTTCTTGCAGTTTGGATAGTTGCACGGATTAACGAAGACAGTTGGA